GAGGGGATAGGCGTGGCGGCGAGGAAGGAGCCGCCGGGTCGCCGGCGACGGCGGGGACGGGAGATCGCATCTGGATTGCGTGCGATGGAGGAGGGAATGGTTGGTGCGTGGTCGCCTGGTGCTCTTTGGATGCGAGCTTTTTTTTTTTTGAGAAATCTTTGGATGCAAGCTATGACCGGTTGCTGGGCTTGGGCGGCCGAAGCACGACGGCCCTTGTCGACCTGGCCCAACCCGGCCCGAACTCAATCACTAGTTCTCACCAATCCCGATGCAGTGAGAGTATGAGAGTGAGGGGTGAATTCGAAACAATGTGTTTTGGACAAATATAGGCCCCGATTCGGTGTGCAGGAATTTTCGTGGGTCTGGTTTCCTTGGGGAAAATAACCTGCGATGCGTTCGGTTCAAAGGAACGTCCTCGCTCATTCTACAGGAAAGTTCACATATCCTATACACTTTTTACTATAGGAAAAAAAAGCTACTCTAACCCAATGTTTGGGCGGAAGCCCGATGCAAGGTGTGAGTTTGCCGGTTTAAAAAAAATCCTTGCATGTGAGTGTCAAGCTATCTGCTAAGCAACATGCATGTATGGGTGAACAAAAAACTAATTTTATATAATTGGAGGCAAGTGCATGCACTGGCTTTTATCCACCGGTTCCTTCAGTTTTACTAGTTCACGTCGAACTCATCAAAATTTTGCATCCCTGTGTCGAACGTTCCTAGGTTTTCCGTAGTCAGGCAAAGCACATTCATGTAAAGTTTTCAATTCCTTTGCTTTCTACTCTTCCATTCCAAACGGACCCATAAAATGTAATTGTCCCCTCAAACACAAGCAAACCAATGTCGCGTTAAAAAATGAACTAATGTAATTGTCCCCTCAAACACAAGCAAACCAATGTCGCATTAAAAAAATGAACTACTCAACGCTCTTATATTTCTTTACGGAGTAATAACCATGTGATATACTATTAACTATCGAAGCACTGTACATTTGATTCGGCATTTAACTTTGCGTGCCTTCCATTAATCTTGTTTGTGAGGAGGCTCTATGGCATGTATCCTATACAAATGAGTTATCCTCGTTATAGGATTGATCTCAACATGGAGCCTATCCATGTCATCACATGTCACCTTAGTGGTTCCATTGCATATCCGAACAACCATGTACCACTGAGAAAAAGTGGCAGGTTTGGGTCCCTTCCTTCCATCCACTGTCATGTTGTTCATCATCCATATAGTCGTTTATTGGGATGAAGCCCGGTTCAGTTTCAATCATGCACCTGTGTCATTTTGCCTTCAAATCTACTTACAAATCATCATTCTGCCTTTCAACTACCAGATGTGCTCTTGATAACATGAAACATCGGCGGGCAACCATCACATAGAAGCGCACCAACGCCTATAGACTAGACAAATAGGTGGGAGACAATCAGGCATGCAAACGTAGCAGAGGCGGGGCGTCATGCGACGGCGACATCGACCGTAGACTGAACTCTCCGCCTAGGGCAGCAAAGGTATAAAAAGGGCAGCCCCAGTGCATGTAGCTCCCGCTTGCGCAGGGTCTGGGGAAGGGTCCGACCACTTTAGGTCTATTGTACGCAGCCTTTCCCTACATTTCTGTAAGAGGCTGTTTCCAGGACTTGAACCCGTGACAACAAAAAATCAATCAATCTCTTTTGACTTGTTTCCTAAAGCTCCAAACTATAAAATCATAATTTACATTAGTTGTGGCCTGATTTTTGATGACTTGGTTTATCTACCCCGGCCATATAGATGGTGAGGTGTAATTCCAATTTGCAAAGCAATTTGTGAAACATAGATTGATTCATTTTTACTGAAAAATCATGCACCCATGGTTGGGTGTTACTACAATGTTGAACAAGAATGCCACTACCGAGGGGGCACAATCAAAGCGGAGCTGCGCGCTGTCATTGTGGCGATCACTGTGGACGTGGATTCGGAGGGTCTGAATTGCACTAGATGCCTTTGTTCCTTCAAACCTCCAATGTTCCAGAGAACCTTCTAATCCTAATTCAACTTTGTTGCATGCAGGGAGGTAGCTCATGAAGTTTTTCAAAGTTTAAGTGTTCCATACAACCTTTTTACCACAATTTGGTTTCACTGCATACACCCCTAATCAACACTTTTGGGATGGAACTAAGCTTCACCAAATGGGAAAATATGGATGGTTGCGCACGAGACAAGACAAAACAAAAATAATTATATCTACCTATTTCTAAATAGAAGCTCCCCACTACCTGATTTTTCTTGCATGCAACCTACCCACATCATCAATCTACAGGGAGCCATCTACCTCATCACATTTGCCACCTCAACAAAAGAATTCCACTAAACAAATTGTGTGATTTAATTCACCTTCTCCATAAAATCTCTACTCGGGTTATCATTTACTTCTCTAAAAAATCAGCGGCCACGGCAACGACAAGCAACCCTATCCTCTCCTAATTAATTCCTCCCCCTCCCCGAATTAATTTGGCCGACTGGCGGGTTTCATTCTCCCTCTTCATCTTCTCCACGCTGACTTGATTCTCCCAGATAGTAGCCGATGGCATCGATGCTCCATACATTTCTGTTTCGGCATGGCTCCTAGCCTCCCACAATAATTTACTCCTCGTGTCCTTCAATATTTCTATGATTCTTCCCCAACCATGTGGTATGATGCTCCGTGGCTAGGTACACCATCGCATGCCTCCGCAAACCATCTTGTATTACTTTCATGG